CTCAGTTATGGCATGTGAACCTGAGTAGCTGGGTTCAATTTGTTGCTATTTTGTTGAGAATTTCTGCCTCAATGTTCATGAGGAATATTGGCCTTGAGTCTTCTCTTCTTGCAGTGTCTTGTCTGACATTGGAGGAAGCAGTGCTAACCTCACTGGGTGAGTCAGGAAGTATCTGTCCTTTCTGGAGGCGTTTTAGAGGGGCTGTTTGAGGTCTTTACATGCTTCATAGAATCACTGTGAAGCCAGCAGGTCCAGGGATTTTCTTTGTGAGTTTTTTGGATGCTGATCCAGTTTCATCCCTGGTTATAGATCTACTCTATTCTGTTGCTTTGTAATTTAGCCTTGGTAGGAACCTATCTGCTTCATCAACATTATTGCCCAATTTGTTGACCCTTTTTAATTTCTGTAGAATCAATAATGTCCCAACTTTGATCTTAGTAACTTCAGTCTTCTCTCTCTTTTTTTTCTTGGGCTGGTTAGCTAAAGGTTTGCCAAATTTGTTGATCTTTCCAAAGAACCAACTATTGGTTCCATTGATTTTCTCTGTTTTTTGTTCTCTGTATCATTGACCTCTGCACTCATCTTCATGTTTCTTTCCTTCTGCTATCGTTGGGCCTAGTTTTTTCTCCTTTTTGTAGTTCCTTAACATATGTAATGAAGTTTCATGGTTGATTTGAAGTCGTTTTGTTTTTTTAATAAAGTGTAGCTATAAATTCCCCCTGTGTTGTGTTTTCTTCTGTCCTGTAAGGTTTTGTTTTGTTTTTTTTCCCATAATTTTCCTGTAAGGTTTAATGTACTGTTTTTATTTTTGTTTGCCTCTAAGTGTTTTTCTCATTTATCTTTTGACTTCATCTTGATTCATTAGTTGCTTGAAAGTATGACTTAATTTTCACAAAATTTAAAATTTCCAGTTTCACTTCTTTATTTGTATTTCTGGCTTTGTCTCCCCGTGGTTGGAGGCTGCATCATACGTGCTGTCTTTTGAAGTCTGTAGAGGTTTGTTTGTGCCCCAAGTGTCCTGCCGTCTGCAGCCGTGTGTACCCTGAGCCTGGCCACGTCATCCTGTGCATCTGGGTCTAGCTGATCTGTTGCGTCGTGTAAGCCCTCAGGGTCCTTCCTTGGCTTTGTTGGGCTATTCTGTCCATTACCAAGAGAGAGAGCTGAGATGTCTTGGGTTTCGTCCATGTCTTTGAGCTTTGTGTCATGAATTTGATGTACTGTTGCTCAGTACAGAGATGTATAATTGTTAAGTCTTCTTGTGGTGAAGTTGTTAATTACTAATTCCATCCTTTGTCCCTTGTCCCCACTTTGACTTCAGGTCTGTTTGGCCACAGCACAGCTGTCCTTGCTCTCCTTGCTGTTTCCAGGGACACCCTGTCCAGGCCCTTCACTCTCAGCCTGTTTGGGTCTTTGGATCTGAGGCAAGCTCTTACAGAGAGCCTGTCCTTGGATTATAGATTGCAAAATTCATTCTACCAGTCTGTCTTTAGGTTGAAGAGTTTTTTCCATTTACATTTAAAGTAACTTTCCCACAGCTTTGGGCCCTCATTCCATCTTGCTGCCTTTCTTGTCATTCTTTTATAACAGAGTGTCCACATTCCTTTCCCCTGCTGTTACCCTCTTTGTGAGGCTTTTTTTATCACCCAAATCCTGGCTCTGGAACTTGAGTCATCACTGTCTCACCCTAAAGACAGGCAGGTGCTGCCCAGCCCGGCCCAGCCTTTTGGTTGCATCTTTGCAGTGTGTGCCCCAGGCATAGACTAATAGCTCCTTGAAACCCATTTAAGTTATGTACAGAACAAAATGTGCAGTTACAAACCAAAGTTACTGTAGTGAGCATCAGACTGATAATTACATTCTCAAGAGTATTAGTCTCTGAGTTATGCAGAAAATGGAACATGCAGCTAGGAGCCATCGCTGTACCCATACAGATGTCACAGTAGTCTGTGACTGGCCTGTGCACTGCTCTGTTATCTGTCCTGTGACCTCCAGTCCCCACCTGGTGTCCTTGCTCTCCCTCCAGCATTCACCTTTTCTTTACCAGAAATGTTGGTTTCTCTCACTTTCAAAGGATAGTTTAGGAAGATGTCACTTCCATGGTTTTTGTGCTTAGCCTCTGGCTTGGCAGGTCTCTGAGGCCTGACATTTCAGGAGAGCCCAAGGGTGTCTGGAGTCCATCTTTAAACTCAGCCTGTGTTCATGAGCTTTCCCTTCTAAGTGGTCAGGAGAACCTGCGGGGCCGCATGGCAGCACTGGGTACAGGGAGGTGTGGGAACTCCTGAGGGTGTCAATGTGGTGTCTGAACCCTGTACCTGTCTCTACCTGATGTTTGCCCTGTCATTACCACTGCCTCGTATCAGTGTCTGTGAACCCTGCTGAATTCAGGGGTCCCCGTTCCAGGCTGTCACTTTCTGTCTTGAGGGGATTTTGACCAAGAACCAATAGCCCTGCATCTATCTGGGCTTTAATTCCTGGTGCTCTGTGTGGTACCTGGCATCAGGGTGCAGCAGATGTGAAACACCTCACCCTTTGCCCCCTCGATGGTTCGCTGTGACTCAAATTTTATCTGCACCCCTGTTGCAATGTTTATTTTGTCCATTTGCCTAATGCTTATCCATTTTCAATGTTTTTCTGACAACACAGAGCTAGAATTTTTTTACTGTGCTGTTTTTGTTGATGCCTCTGCTCTTTGCTCTCTGACCAGATCGGTCTCATCTTGTCTTCTGCAGGAGAGCTCCCTAGCCTGTGATTATGGAGGCTTTGGGACCTGCCCCGACTCTCCATTTGTTTTTAAATTGCTTTTGACTATTCCCACAGATTCTGGGTTGTTGTGACTTCTGGTTCCATGAGGACCCCGGTGTGTGTGTCTTGTCTCTCTTGACCAAGAGGTGCTGAAAGCCTGGGTCATGATGCAGAAGCACCCAAAATGCCCATCCATGGAGCCCAGGGCACTTTCTGCTCACTGGAGCTATGCTGGCAGAGGGTGTAGTGCCTGGAGCAGTGTGAGGGCTGCCTGACTTGCATGGTGACTGAGCAGATGTGTTAGCCAGGCCCAGGTCCCAGCCATCACAGAGCAGATGATCTGATAGCTGCGCTGGTCAGATCTACCCTAACCATCCCAGGTCTTGGGAGGGGATGACTGCCCTACCACCCCCACCAGGCTTCCTCTGAGCTTGAGCACAGCCCAGGCATTCCTTGTGGAGGAAGAGAACCCAGCTTCTGCCCAAGGCAGCTGGGCCACTGCTGGGTGTGGGAGGTGGGGACCTTGGCTGTCACAGATCTGTAATGCAGAGCCATCCAGTGACTTTAGAGCCCTGGCATGCGGAGGCTGCTCACTCGGAAACTGTAGGAATTTCATGGCAAGGAAATAGGAGGACTTTGGGAAGAACCAGCTGTGCATCCATGGGGTCCCAGCCCAGAAGGTGGCAGCTGCTGTGTCCCTATGCATTAATCAGGGATGCTCTGCCCTGGGAAAGAGAGGGTAGCTTCACCACTAGCGTTGGGCTGGCAGATCCCTGCTTCCTAGTGTGACTGTGGTGATAGTGGCAGCTGCTCAGGGCCCAGGCCAGCTGCCTTCAACCTTGGGGGTGGCTGATACAGAAGCCAGCTTTGTCCATGACTTTCTAGCTCCAGGTAGCATGGAGGGGGTCTCCTGCAGGAGGCAGGGAGAGAGACCAGGGGGTCCCAGCTGCAGCAAGGCTGCCATATGGACACGGGAGGATACATGTGAGGGCCACTAAATCTCCATTTGCACTTTGCTTCTAGGAGAGCTGAGGGACCCTGCTGGCTCCATGACACTGAGGTTCCACATGTCCCCTCCTGTTCTGCCCAGGGGTCCTGGTCGCCTGGCCCTACAGCTATGCTGTGTCTCTCACTCATGTACTTGAACACATGCATGCACACATTTTACCACCACCTGTCAGGTTATGAGCATCAGCAGCCCCACCCCAGAAAAGCCCTAGGCGGTGGCCTCTCCTGTGATTGTCATGCACTGTGGTGGCAACCATATCAGGACTCATGGAGAAAACCTGTGGCCCAGGCCTCAGCTGAGTCCTGCCTAGCACAATCCTGGCCAGTGCCTCTGAGAGGTTGTCTCCTGGAGTGGCACTGCCTGTCTTGTGCCCAGTGGTGACCATGCCCCTGGATATCCACAGGCTCACCTTCATAGACCTGGAAGGCGTCATGAATGGCAGCCCATATCCTTCTTCAGTGGCTCAGTCCCACTGGGAAGGACAGGGTCTGAGGGTGAGGATACAGCACCCTGACTGTGTGCGTGCAAGTGTATGCACTCATGCATGTGCACACATGTATGTTCAGTGACTCCAGGGAGATATGGGGCTTGGTGTTGGCATGAGAGCATGTGGTGAACACTTGAAGCCCTCATGGTGACTCTGGGTGACTCAGAGTACTACAGACCATGGGGCCACTGATGTGAGCCTTTACACGCCCCCCCTCCCAAGTATTGTGTCCCTGGCATAAACAGACATGCACCCCAGTGAAGAGCAGCAAAAGGCTGGAAAAGCTGCTACCTCCTGGGAGCTTGACATTACCCCAGGCCCAAGAGACTCCTAAGCTGGCAGCATGGCCAGAGAGGCTGGAATGAGATGCCCACGTGCTGTCCTTCAGGGCCCATAGGAGGACAGCCCTGTAGCAGCAGCTTGTGTGCTTCCCTCCATCCTTTCCCAGCCATCCTAGCTTGGAAGAAGCCCAAATATTCAAGGCCAGGGTTCCCTCTTCCTGCAGTGCAGGGATGCTGTCATTCCTGGGGTATGCTCCTCCTTGTGTCTCTTCTGTGCCATCTGTGAGGCCTGAGGAGGGGGCATGGCCTGTAGCTGCTATGTTCCTTACAGAGGGTCCTTTGGGTCCGATGAGGGGGGCTGACTTTGGTGGTCACTGGTGGCAAAGCCCAGAGGACCAGGACAGAGCAGGCATGGAGACATGCCCTCCCTCATTTGGTTTCTTCTGGTGCAGCTCCCTCACCTGCTGCCTTCTCTTTGCAGGGAGCACCAGCCAGGAGGTGGGGCTGCTGCAACTCCTCGGGGACCCCTTGCCCCAGCAGATCATGGTCATCAGTGATCCCGAGGTCGGACCAGCCTATGTCTTTGGACCAGATGCCAACAGTGGCCAGGTGGCCCGGTACCATGTGCCTAGCCCCTTCTTCCATGACTTCTCGCTGCTGTTCCATGTGCGGCCAGACACAGAGGGTGCAGGCATGCTGCTCGCCATTACCGATGCAGCACAATCAGCTGTGGTGCTCGGCGTGAAGCTCTCGGAGGTGCAGGACCAGCATCAGAACATCTCACTGCTCTACACAGAGCCGGGTGCCAGCCAGACCCACATGGCTGCCAGCTTTCACTTGCCTGCTTTTGTGGGCCAATGGACCCGCTTTGCGCTCAGTGTGGACAGCGGCTCCGTGGTGCTCTATGTGGACTGTGAGGAGTTCCAGAGGCTGCCATTCACACGGTCCCCACAGGGCCTGGAGCTGGAGCCTGGGGCAGGCCTCTTTGTGGGCCAGGCTGGAGACGCAGACCCCGACAAGTTCCAGGTACCCCTCCTGTGGTGGGTGGGTGGCCACTTGAGATGGAGATAGCAGCTGCACCACCCAGTGCAGCCTGCGAGTAGAGGCCCTGCCTGCTGGTGGCCAGCCTGGCTTCCTGGTCTTGAGTGCCCCTTGCAGATGGTGTATTTGGGCCCGTGGCTCTCTGACCCAAGGTTTCTGTGAGACCTCTGGGCCCAGACCATGAGGGCTCCTTCTGGCTATGTCCTAGGACTGTGACAAGTGGGGCAGACAGTCCATGCTGGGTTAGGTGAGTGGGAGCCAATGGCAGCCCAGTTTTCTGAGCTGTACAATTACAACTCAAGCCCTCACTGACAATTGTTAACCACCAGAAGCTGGTGACAGCAGGATCTGAACCATGTGGGTCCTTCTGTAGGTTTTACACACTAGTGAGGGGTAAAAGTTGCATACCCATAAAGAAGAGAGCTTACATGCCTGGAGGGGTAAAGGTTATTTGAGAGTGGCACACCTGGTGTGACTGGCTGGCCTCATGACATCAGTTACCATTAGAGTCCATGTGCCCTGGCCCCGTGGCCCCGTGGCTCCACCCACAGCAGTGTGGGCAGGGCTTCCTAGAGGTGCCAAAGTTTCTGTTTACTATGTCCCCACAGGCATCTCCCCAGTGCTTTCATTTCCCGGCCTCCAAATCTCTCCTGTAGCACTGGATGGAGTTCTCCCTGGAGCAGTTGTGTGGGCGTCCTATGGCACTGACTCAGCTTGAACTCTAGTGCTGTGGCTGGTCTGCAGCCAGCCTACCCCTGCTGGTCAGCCTGCCCAGATGGTCATGGTGTGTGCTGATGTGGATGTATCCCCAAGGGACAAAGAGTTGACTGTGCCCCTGACAAGAACCGCTTGTCTGAAGTGGTCCTAAGTCTTGATGCGTCCAAGTCCTGGGCATCAAACCTTGTCCTTGGCAGGAACTTTCAACCACAGGCTTCAGGAGCCCCAGGACTTTGGCACCAAACTGGTCCCCTTTGTATTTCTTTTTGATCCTCAAGCGTGATAATAGGAAAGAGAGCATCATCTTGCCTGTGGTGTGACTTCCCAGGCATTTCTGGAGGAGGTAGTGTCCATGCTTTCTGTTCAGGCATTCTACCCACCAGACAGTGGGCACAGGGCCATGGGCACCCTGCCGCGGCCTACAGTGCCAGCAGACTGGGTCAAGCTCTCACCAGGGCCTTGTAGTGCTGTGGGCGACCAGCTGCCCTCAGATAGGGGCAGTGTCCAGTAACCTGCATTTTCAGGGCTATTGTTAGTAGAGATAAGCATTTTTCCCCACCCATGTGTTGGCTTTTTGTTTTTCTACTGTTTATGTTTTCTGTGAGTGACCTGTTTACGTTCTTGCATTTTGGGGATAGGCTTGGCCATTTCTTAACTGGTTTTATGCAACCTCATAATATATGAAAGAAATTGAGCCTTCGTTTTGTGTGGTGCAGATTTTATGTTCCACTTCAACATTTGCCCTTTTGCTTTTTAAAAAACCATCAAGACATGTGAAGGGTTGATGTAGCTAAATCTGGTATGGAGAAAACACTGACCTTTAACCAACAGTCTGCAAATGACAGGATGGAGTCAGGCACCCCAGGGCATGTGCCTACTCTCAGCTGCCTGCTTCTCTCTCTGATCCCTCAGCCCATGTCTGGTCTAGAGTAGGGAATCCCCAGCACCAGCCCACCAACTGATACTGGTTTGTGTTATAAAACAGGCCACACAGCTGGAGGTTAATGGTGGGCATGGAAACTTCATCTATCCTCACAGCCACTCCCACTGCTGCACCCCCACCCTAGCTCTGCCTCCTGTCAGGTCAGCAGCCCTGGCTTCTCACTGGTGTGTAGACCTTGCTGTGAGCTGTGTTTGTGAGGGGTCCACGTTGCACACTCCTTGTGAGGTTTTGAAGCCCAGATACAACAATAACAGAAATGAAGCCCAGGTTCAATACTAACAGAAATGAAGCCCAGGAGGCCAGGGGTATAGTTCAGCAGTGTAAGCGCCTGACTGGCAAGGACAGGGGCCAAGGTTCGATCCCCAGCACCACATGCCACACCAGCCCTGCCCCTGGGTGCGCTGAGCTGGCACCAAGTCCAGGCTTAGTAGGGCACATCTATAATCCTGGGGAGGCTGAAAACAGGAAGATCACTAAGAATCTGAGCGCGCACGCACACACACACACACACACAGAGAGAAGAAGAAGAAGAAATGAAGCCCAGGTATGGTACAAACAGAAATGAGGTGCAAGGTGCAATAGTAACAGAAATGTAGCATGGTGGAATAATAAAAAAATGAAGTGCCAGTATACGAGTAGTCGAGATAAAGTGCACAGTGACTGTAACATGCCTGAATCACACTGAAGTCAACACTTGCCCTGTCCATGGAAGAGTTGTCCTCCGTGAAACCTCTTTGTGGTGCCAGAAAGGCTAGGGACGGACAGGTGGACAAGAGACCCCAGTTTGCTCCATGGGCTTTCAATCATTCCTGCAGGAAAGGAAGCACACTTGTATACTGGTGCAGAGATGAAGATTCTAGTGCAGATATTTTCAGACTTCTTGGATGGGGATTCCCAGGAAGGAGCCTTGTGAGTCGTGTACTCCACGGTGCCTGGCAGAAACAGGATGCGCTGGGTCCTCTTTGTCCCCTTGGAGGAGGTGGTCAGTCAGCCCCTCCTGTTGCCACTTACATTTTGAACAGAACCAGACACTGGGCCTGGGCCCACGAGGCCCCAGGCTGGCGCTTCTAGGTCTGGCGCTGTCTCAGGCCCAGGTCACAGGCATGCGTGGCGTTCTCAGGTTCACCCCTGTGGAGTCGGATGGGGGAGGCATCTTGGAAGGCGTTTTCCATCCAGGTGGACGAGCATTCCAGGAAACACTATTTCTGATCCTATTTCAGTGTCTGCACCTTTCTGTTGTTACTTGACAAGCTGTTGCTGTGTGTCTCTCGATTTAATGTCTCTTGCTGGAAGTGCCTCTTTCTCATTCTGTTTGAGTTTTTCTTCCTGTGCAGAGATAGAACCCTGGACCTGGTGCACACTAGGCAATTGTTCCCCTTGGCACCAACTCTGTCCCTTAACCCTGAGGACCCTTGGTCCTGGTTTGCAGTAGACATTGCCAGGAGCAGATGCCCTGTTCCCTTAGTCCTTGGCCTCCAGCCCTCATGATGAATGTGCTTTCTGTCATTTCTGCTTTGCCCAGTGACGAAAGTAGCTGAGCTGTGAGTGCCCCAGGGTGCTGCCATGGCTACAGTATGACACTGGGTGATGTGGATGCTGAGGTCACAGCCTTCCATGTGGGACCTGTGTCTCAGGACAGGTTTTCTAGCAGGCAGCTGAGTGTAGGGCTCTAACCTCACTGCCCCTCACCAAAGCCAGACCCAATGAGGAAGTTCAGTTCACTCATGGGTACAAATTGAGCCTATGTGCCCTAGGCCTCCTGCAGTCACTCCTGCCTGCCACCACCTTTATGATGCGCCCTGGACCCTGTTACTCATGCAAACAATGCTCATTAGGGGCATACCCACGGCCAGATCTGTGCAGAAGCGCTGCTTCCTACTGAGCTGCACGGAAAGTGTTGCTTGGGACAGAGTGACCCCTGAAAGCGAGCACTCAGGGCCACTCTGCATGGACGACACCAGGACAGAGCAGAAGCCACCGCAGTGTGAGAGGCTGCATCCCATCTCCCATGGCACAGAGGGCAATGGGTTCCTAACACAAGACACAAGGCCAAAGGGGAGTGGAAGCAGCAGGGAGGCCATGCAGCCAGGAGAAGCAGGGGGCTGGCAGACTCACACATAGCCGCCTCATGTGGGTTCTTGTCATTCACACATAAGTGTGGGAGGTATGGCAGGAAGTATCTCCAAGCCTTGTTTCTAAAATGCTTTGTGGTCCCTGGGCTTCCAGTGTCCACTGTCTGGTTCTGAGTCTGTTACATATATGCAGTGGGTCCCATGGCTGCTGCACAGCTGGCATTGTCCCTGCTGAAAATCACGAGGAGAGTTCCAGCTGGAGTGGCCTTGTTGCTGGTGAGGCCCAGGTTTTGCCCACCTGTGGCTCCTGATCCATTGTGGTGCCCACAGTCTGGGAAACAAGCCATCTGCAGCACAGCAACCTGTGGGGCTCAGATGTGGGGCTGGCACATGGCTATGGAGATCCCCGGCCTCCTAAATCACTGTGAACACCCTGACATCCCATACCCATGAGAAGCAAGTTTCTAGGATTTGATCCAGCTCTTCCTTGCCCCTGGGATTCTCACACTGGCATCTCAGTCACCATTGCAGTTCTGGGAGGCCGAGGGGAACAGTATCATGTTCCCAGGAGACTCTGCAATGTGACAGGAAGGGGCTGGATGGCATGCCCATCTCCACACTGCCCCCCACCTGTGCTGGGATGGTGAGAGGTCTATACTGCTCACACCACACACATGTACACATGCTCACATATTCACAGGATTATACTCCATCATGATCACACATATTCACATGCAACCACACACTCTCCATCATACTCACATAAGTTCACACAGGACTACATGCTGTAACACGATCACATACATTCACACAGGGCCACATGTTCTCATCATGATCACAATGTTCACATGTGAGTACACACACTCCATCATGATCACATGTACACACAGGACTACATGCTCCCCAGTACCACCATGCATGTTCACATGTGATCATATTCCATCATGATCATACATTTTCACACACAACCATACATTTTCTATCATAATTGCATATGTTCTCATAGGACTACATGTCTTCCACATGATCACACACAATCACATGCTCTCCATAACCATATACATGCACTACATGCTATCTAACATGATCATGCATGTTCACACATGGCCACATGCTCTCCAACATGATCACACATGTGAACATGTGCCCATATGCTCTCCATACGATAGATTCAAACATGACCACACACAACCATGTGTTCTCTCTTATAATCACACATATTCACACATGACCATATGCTCTCTGGCAGGATCACAGTTTATACATGACCATATACTGTCCAACATGATCATATGCATTTATGTGTGATTACACACATGTGTGCACATGTGCTTTCCCACATCCTCCTGGGGCTGTGGACTCAGCCATGCGGCACTTCTCCTCACTGTGGGTGCCAGGGCTGCCTGTCCCTCTGCCTTTGGGGGTGGTGAGATGCCACCTCTCAGCGGCAGCCAGACCTTAGATCTATGGCTCTGGCTCCCGTTCTGTCTTCAGGGGTATTGACAAAGCACGTGTGTGTGGAACCACCCTAATGAGCCTTGGCCTCACCATGTACCAGGGGACCTGAATGTCCTTGTCCCATCCAGGCTGTCTAGGAGGCAGAATCATCTGCCCTGGGCACTGACTGTGCCTCCCAGACACCGTGGTATGGGAAGCATGCACCCAGTGGCCTTGGTGAGGGCCCTTCCTTGGACTGCTGGAATTGGACTCAGACGTACCAGGCAAGACTGGTGTGAGTCAGGCCCTCAGCATCCCTGTGACCCTGATCTCTCTGTCTAGGGAGCGATTGCTGAGCTGTGGGTGCGTGGGGACCCCCGGGTGAGCCCTGTGCACTGCCTGGACGACGAGGACGAGGATGATGATGGGGTGAGTGATGCTGGGTTGTGGCATAGGGGGACATGAGCGCTGAGTCCCTAAGTGATGGCCAGGACAGGTCTCTGGAGATGCCAGCTTTTCTCTCACCTTCATGGCAACAAATAGGGTCTTTCCCTGCCTTGAACTTAGTGCTTCCCACTTAAGGCGACAGAATATGAAGTGAAAGGAGACACCCTGAGAACTGCGGGGTGAGACTGGGATGGGAGCAGCTCAAAAAGTGTGTGTGTCTATGTGCTGTGCGTCTGTAGCATATGACATGTGTGACATGTACATCTCTGGTGCATGTGCAGGAAGTGCCCTATATGGCCCTACGCAGCCTCAAGACAGTCCTAACAGCTTTCCTGGCCTTTATGTCCTTAGTGCCAGGGCACCCTTTCTCCCAGAACAGTGCCCAGGAGGCTGTGGCATGTGCAGATGTGTTCCTGGAGGTCTCTGCTTGATCAACAGCACATGTCACACATAAGTCTGAGGCTCCTTTGGGGCCTTGTTGTGCTGGGACTTTGCTCACATCCTGTTTTTCTTGTCCTGCAGGCATCTGGTGACTTGGGCAGTGGCCTGTTGGAACACCAAGACCTTCACAGGAAGGATGTGGTAAGTGGGTGGTAGGTGGGGCTGGAGGGAGCTCCATAGGGTGGACCCTGCAGTGAGGTGTGGGTGTGCATACACGTATGGCTTCCGGGCCCCTCCGCGCCATGAAAATGAGTTCCCCACTGGAAATGGCACTGAGGTGCCCAGCAGTGCCCTCTCAGTTCCAGCTAGCTCCTTCCTACTGCTCCTGTTTGGCCAGGGGTAGGGGTGTATTTGAACACCCCAGTAAGGCGAGGGTCTGGGCTCCCACATCACTTTGGTCTTGGGGGCAGCCTTGTCCTTCATTTGCCCTTAAGTGTAGGGATCTGTTGATCTCTCAGCAGTCCCTGGGAAAAAATAGCAAGAGGATTCAAAAAATAAAGATGAGAGATAACAGCTGAGGTCAGGCAGTGGACCATGGCTGATAGTTAAAGGACCCCAGAACAACAGTAGGGGCATTTATTTATACCTTTGCAAAGTTACAAGACACAAAGTTGCTTAGCAACTAATAGTCAGCAACCTCCAGGCAGGATGTTTTTCTTAAGACCCAGGTAATTTGACTGCTTTAGGCAATGAGGCTTCATCCTGCCCTCCCACATATGATCAGTTTCCAGTGTTAGAGGCTCCCAACACATAATAAGCTCACAGGTGACCATGGGGAATGGGTGGCCTTGGGACTCTGATGCCCACAAATGGCATTGCCATTGCCTGGGCAGCCTCCCTGCAGACCCAGAGCTGCAGTGCCCACCCTGTCACCAGCCTTCCCCATGCCAGGCACTGGGCCCTGAGTTCTGGGCCTGTGGCTGCCTGGGAAACACATGGAAGCTGCAAGCTGTGACCTCGGGTCTCCCATGCCGTCCTGGATGTCAAGGGTGTGAGTGGGCAGTGTCCAGGGCCTCCCTCAGCCAGCACTCAGCAGCTGCTGTGTCTTCTCCCAAATCTCAGGCATCCCCATGAGCCCAGGTCAGATTATGTGATGAAGAGGTCCCTGGCCACCATGGCTGGGTCTGCCAAGTGGCCAGCTTCCTCTGCTCCCAGGAGTCAGGAAATCTGTGTGTAGGCTACAGGCTGCAGCATCCCCATCATAATCCTCCACGGGGACATATCTGCTCCTCAGTTGTCTTATGATACCAGCTCTCCACCTCCAGTGTCCCCAACCACAGAACTCACCATGCTGACCCCTGAAGGGTCTATCTTTGTTTGCTTCAGAGAGTTGTAGGCTTGGGGACAGGACCTGCTAGGTACACAGCCTGAAAATCCAGGCACATGGTTCCATGGGGCCTGGAACTTCTTTCCAAAAGCTGCTTCTTATCTTCCTTACAACTGATAAACATTTCACTTTGCAAACACAACAACAGACCTGACAGGTCACCCACCGACACAGCAATGGAGCCATTTCCCGTCTCCTTGCAGGTAGCAACCCAGACACCCAGTCTTCCTCTGCCTCCTCCTGTGACTCCTCCTCCCCTGGCCAAGGATGGCAGCGTGGGAGACACCCAGACAGAAGAGATCGAGGCGCAGACCACAGCAATCTCATCAGGGCGCGAAGCTCTTCCGGGTGTGTGTGTATGTGATGATAAGTGTGCAGTGTGTGTGTGTGATGAGTATGTGATATGTGCGGTGTGTGATATTTGTGTGCACTGTGTGATGTGTATAGTATGTAATGTGTGTGATGTGTATAATATATATGTGATGTGTTAATGGTATGGGATGTGTGTAACATGTGCATACTTGGTATGTGATGTATGTATTGCTGTGATGCATGTGTGATACGAGTGAGAGTGTGTATATGTGAAATACAAGGGGGGGGGTGGTGAGTGCTGAGCAGGGCTGGTGCTGTCTCCTGGTCTGGGGGACAGGAGTAGATATGGCCCTCAATTCTCAGGAAGGGGTTCAGTGTCTACAGAGCCATGAGGTCCAATAAGGGTCCCAGAAGGCTGCTTATCCCTCTGCCAGTGTGACCACCCTTGTGGGGTCAATCCCCACATCTGGCCAAACCAGCTGTGGGCTCTGCACCTAGCTGAGGCTGAGCTTCCCCAAAGGGCCCAGGAAATGGGACACCCGAGGTCCCCACGAAATGACATCCAACACGGTGTAAACCTGTGTTCTGCCAAGCAGGAGGCTATGGGAAGCTTTTCATGGGATGGGTGGGGGCCCCAACATGCCTGGACTCTGCCACAGCAGGAGCTGTGTCTCTGTGGCCTGTTCTGTGTATCTCTGGCCATCACAGGCTCTTCTTGCACTTGTGCAAACCACACTTAGCTCCAGGCTGTTTAGGCAGACCAGTACAACACACAGTCCTTGTGATGCCCCACCATGCCATCCCTAGAGAAGATGCCCAGATGCCTTTGGGCCAAGGGGAGCCTGCGTGTGGGCTGTGGGGTCATACAGCACTATCAGGTCTCCCAGGTGTGGTCGCTGCCAGAGGTTGCCCTACATCCTCATAGGGGCCACCTGCTCAGGGAAAGCTGAAGGGGAGGGATGAGATGCATGTCTGTGTGTGCTTGTGTGTGCACACACGCGAGTGTGTATCAGGGTGAGAAGGATAAGAGGTGTATGGAGTGGTGGCCAACCTGGTGAAGGGGGTGGGATCTGTTTCTGTTGGGTTTCACTCTTTTTAATCAAGTGTTGGGAGGAAAAACAGGTGCTGAGGTTTCTTGTTAAAATGCACCCGAAGTAATCTGGAAGGTCTGTGTCATCATGGGCATAGCTTAGGATGGCCCTGGTTCTCTTCCTGGTGGCTGGCCATGTGTTCCTCTGTCCCCCAGCCCTCTGTCCCCCTGTCCCCTAGGGTGCTAGGCAGTCACCCTGGGGGACAGCAGAGTCCAGGGCCATGGAGTCTGATGGCAGCCACCCCTCCTCCCCAGGTAAGACCCTTGTGGGTGACATGCGGGATGAGAGTACCCCAAGGCCGGGACACAGCCTGGAGAAGGTGAGCCTCCTTCCAGGCCTTTGGTGGCTTTACTTGTCTCACCATCACCCCATGGAGCCCTCGGGTCCTCTCTGCCTGTTTGCCTTTCGTGTCTTCTGCCTGTCTGCCCTGCATGTCATTTGCCTGTCCACTTCGCCTGTCCTCTGCCTGTCATCATATGTTTCTTCTTTGTGACCCAGAGTCCTGCTTAGGACTTGGGCATATGCAGCACAGCTCCAAGAGGACATGTGTGGTTGCCACAGCCCATGCCCTCCTGTCCTCTTTGTCCCTAGGGAGGCCTGAAAGGGCAGAAGGGAGAGCCAGGAGCCCAGGGGCCACCCGGCCCAGTTGGTCCCCAGGGTCCTGCAGGCCCTGTGATGCAGGGCTCCAACACACAACTTGTCCCTGGGGCTCAGGGCCCCCCAGGAAGCCCTGGCCCCCCAGGAAAGGATGGTGCCCCAGGGAGAGACGGCGAGCCGGTGAGCTCTGTCCCCTCTGCATGTCATGTAGGGGGAGGGGAAAGGGCGCAGCCATGGTGAGGCCTTAGGGATCAGAGACCCTAGATGTACACCTGCTCAGGGTCACAGCCAGGTGGCTCCCACAGGTTCAGTTTGCATGTGAGGTCACGGGTCAGGTGACCCCATCATTAACAAATGGCCTCTTCATTCCAGGGTGACCCTGGCGAGGATGGAAGACCTGTAAGTTTGCTTTTTTTCTGCTGTCTGATGGGTGGTGTTTTTGTAAGGCCTGAAGCCTTCTAAACCCAGGCACAGAGCAAATATCATGGCCACATAGGGCCCAGTGCAACCTTACTCTGCTCGGATGTGGCATGGGGCGTCCAGGCTGATTACTAGGAAAATCAGGAAGACGGGAAAGGGCCTGTGTGCCTACCAGGCTCTAAGAGAGACACACACACAGCAGAGAAGGAAGGAAGGAAGGAAGGAAGGAAGGAAGGAAGGAAGGAAGGAAGGAAGGAAGGAAGGAAGGAAGGAA